GAGAGAGAGAGAGAGAGAGAGAGAGAGAGAGAGGGAGAGAGAGAAAGAGAGAGAGAATTTTGTTGAAGTCGACTCCGATCACAATCAAAATGGCAACTCTCTCTGTACCACACGATTGTCATTCACCAGATTATTCTTTGATGCAAAAAGATCAACATGAAGCAGTAGACCATGAGTCCTCGCTCTCACTCATGGGTTGAGCTTTTACCGAATTCAAGTGATGAGGGTGGGTGGTTGGAGGGTGCTCTGGCGTAGTTTGCTCTTTCTTTCCTCTAACATCCATCGTCCTTGGCTGCCTTCCTTCTTTTTTAAGTGTTGCTCTCATATAAAACCTGTAATCCTAGGCACATATACAACCTATTGGTGTTAGAAGTGCCGTACAACTCTTACTAAAACAAGTAAGGAGGGGTGAAGTTCATGACTCGGGAACTGTTCTCGCTTTTCCCTTCCATAAATAATTTAAACTGTAAGCTTGCATGGAATTTCATAGAAATGTTAGCAGTTTTCAGCAGTTAACACTTTAGGTCAATAGAGTTATCATAATTACATTGTTAAACCTGCTATTGTTTGACATCTGTGAATAAAGTAAATAAAACCCTTCCGAACCCTGGGGTTGAACTAGTAGATTAAAGAGCTCGATGTTATTATAATCTGTGTGAATTGATGACTGATAATAACAGCTGTGTTGTTCCCTGCATTAAGAAAGTGGGGGTAAATTTGAACTGCTGCACAAAACGGAGTGGAAGTAATGTATATTTTTTGTACTGCTATAGTAAAGAAGACAAAAGAGAGAAGACTAAAATCTCTTGTTAAGACTTTGCCTTTGACTTTATTCGACGAGTAGAGTTTTTAGATTTAAGAAATTAATTATTATACTCCTTCGTTTGATAAAAGTATTCAAAAGTTCCAATATATCAGGCACTTTTCTATTGGGGTTCAATGTTTTAATCAAAGGATTGTGAGGTTGCAGTTTACTGGTTGGAACTCGATAACATTTTTTTCTCAAAATCAATCTTGTTTGTGCCAATGTTAATCTATGATATGAGGAACTCGTCCAATCTAGTCCAGTAATTTTAAACTCAAGGATAAACAACAAACCGCCGATAACAACAGGTTCGCATTTATTTCGTTATCACTGTGCAAATTGAGATCCCTTTACACTGAATGCATTCCATTTGCAGACCTTGTCGCCTAGCAACGGCCACTTGATTTTACCAGGCATCAAGGGTTGATTGCAATTCTCATCCTCGATTTTCGTATATAGCATATCGTATACCACGCATTGCTTTTGTATTAACTAGTAACTGGCTTGCATCGGTGTTCTGTTCGTAAGAGAGAAAGGTGGCACAAGGAAACATTTCTTCGCATTTCTTGGGGATATTGAAAAATGAAAATAAAAACTTTAGATAGTTTGAAAGGTTCCAAATAGTATAGAAAGTTATAATTTCAAGCTGAGCAACATGTATTATGAAAAGAGGTATCTTGTAAATATCCTTTAACGTCCTACTTTTTTGTGGCCTTATGCAAAGTTGAATCCTGTGGCTCTGTATAACACCAACATACTGCTCTAATAATACGTAATCTAAAATCTAAGAGCTAGCGTGTGCATGCATACGTATATACATATAGACACAAACACACATATACACACACACACACACACACTCACAGATACACACACAGACACACAGGTATACACATACACACACAAAAAGCAAAACAAACACAAACACAAACATACACACACACAAACACACAAACACACAACAAACAAACACACACACACACAATGATCCAAGTCACAATTATTTCGAGCTCCGAGAAAATCAAAGAGTTATTAAGTGAGAATCATGCTTGAACTTGATCGTTTTTCTAGGGTATATTTCTATATTATTTTGAAAAAAAAAATACCGCCTCTGCTTCAGGATTGAGTATATTTTTTTCCCGGTTTAACAACAAAGCAAAATTATTTTGAGAAATTTATTTTTTCGTGTTTGTGGATTTGATCAACTTTCAATCATGGTCTTCATCTGTTTGTGACTCCTGCTGGATTGCTGCAACCAGATCGGGTAAAAAGTGAGTGGTTCATAGACTTGAATTATGATATCCTAGATTGTGTACTGTCATGGCCGCGGCTCTTTGATCTTTAAAACAACCCTCCACAGTGCCGGTGCACACCACGGGTGCGCAAATAAAGAACACAACACCAGTTTCACTCTGTTGCCGGATGCACGTGCAATCTTTACGATGATTACCTTGGTTTGGTTTCAAATTATGTAGTCAAATTATGGCGCTCCGTGGTATTGGGTGGTTGGTGAGTGCTCTTGTGTGCTTTGCTCCTTCTTTCCTATCAAACATCTATCGTTCTCTCCTCCTTCTTTCCTATCAAACATCTATCGTTCTCCCCTCCTTCTTTCCTATCAAACATCTATCGTTCTCTCCTCCTTCTTTCCTATCAAACATCTATCGTTCTCCCCTCCTTCTTTCCTATCAAACATCTATCGTTCTCCCCTCCTTCTTTC